AAAATAACTTCATTATAGTGTTTTGAAAAGCTCTTGACACCAGCTATTAGATTTTGGAATCAAAAATAGGAGTTTTTATTTAAAAAATTACTCTGACCTTCAAATGACCTTGAAAATCAACTGCGAGGTCAAAGTCAAGGTCACCCTCAGTTGGCCCTCTTTTAATCCTACAACGTTTGTTAAGGTCATTTTTTGCTATCACCTTTATCTTCGGAGTAATTTGCGTGGATGTTTTATAATGGGACACCCTGTATATGTATATATAAGCGAATATGATTTATACATAAATAATATTCGCTTATTGTGTAACTATTGCGTTATAAACATAATGCTAATAAATAGTAAATGAGAAAGTGGTTGTAACTACTTTATTATTTAAACTAGATTAAATATTATTTAGAGTAAATAATACCAATTAATTAAACTTTATTCTTATTGAAATATCTTACCAGGAGATGTGACAAGTCCTGTTCTCAATACTGGTTTAAAAATTTTATAAATCGAACTTTTCTCGAAGCATCGACTTTGCAGGACAGCCTAAAACACAAAATTAAAACCTTATTTATTAATGTTTTTATATCATATTAAACATGTGTATTTATTTGTGGTATTTCAGTATTTACAAATACTTTAGAAAATTATTTTTATTATTTAAAATAAATTATAAAAGTTACACACATAATAAAAATTATATTATTTATATATATATAACAATAAATATTTCTTAATGTATATGTTTATTGAAAATATTTATTCTTTATAATACGTATAATATGTTTGTAGAAATCATACGTTATTCTTTTACCTTTATGTGTTCTCCGTCATATACACCGATATATGCAATATGGCCGAACCAGACTCGAAATGGAGATGAAAAATTGTTCACTAGTGTACTCGCAACTTGTAAAAGTTCTAAAATAGACTTTTTTATTACTCAAAAAAATATTTTTTGTTATTTAAAGATTAATTGATTCCATATTAATATTAATAAATTCCACTTTAAAAGAATTAGTTTTTAGGATTTTTTATTATAAAGTACTGAACAATAAAATAGTGTACGATTTAACGTATGATTCATTGTATGTAAGCTCTATGCATAAACATAATCAACGCATAAGATAATTCTATAACTATCGTGCGATAGAAAAGAACTATTTCCTGTTCATGGATATATATTAAAAAATAGTAGGTCTTAAGTCACAATGTTACGGTAAGAATTTACTCAACATACATAATAGTATATAATTGAATATAATAGTAATTGTATTGTGCAGTACACAGATTACGCACGTGGATATGATTTATGATTAAAATAGTGTAAGCAATTTTCAAATTTTTATGTTGACTTTTAGGAAATTTATTTTTTTCTAATTTAAATTAATTATTTAAGCAAGTAATTAAGATAATTAATTACAAAATTGTAATGCAGATATATTTAAGTAAGATAATGTTCTGTAAAATTTAATTTTCTGTTAATTCTTTTTTTTACTTTTGTTATATACATTAAAGGTACGTTCCACTTGGCGATCGCGACGCTTGTGGAATCATTTTATCTTTGTTTTTCATTGAAAGTTAAAGAAAGATAGATAATGTTCACGAGCGTTGCGATCACCAAGTGGAACTCAGCTTAAGTATATTATAATTTGTTATTACCGCTAGTATTTATTCCCACAAAATAGAGAGCACTTCCAACGAGTGGATATGCCTTTGGACCTGGCAGAGTGTTAATTTTTTTAATAAAAGATCGACGCCAGAAATTCGACAAAATGTAGCTCACTCCAAGGCAAATTAAAGTTATTAATGTAACAGTTACAAACATTGCTGTATTTATTTTTACAACACTAACCACGTTATTCACAAACAATAGAAATATATGAGTTGGCACTGATGTTACTGCTCGAACTGTAAACACCACTGATGTTACTTCTTTCAATTTTCGCTTTCAATATGCACTCTGACGAGTGGAATGGTAGTAGACGCATTTATAGTAAGAAACGAGGACAAGAGAAAGGGAATAAATTTATGCAAAGGCAGGAGAGAAAGAGATAAAGATAATGGTATTTAGAAAGGACATTCTACAAACTGCAGACTGAAGCGAGATAATTGATTTCTGACTGGATAGCTTTTGAAAAGTTTTAGAACGGTTAGTAATTATGATCTACTAACATTGATTAAACTAAGTAACATCATTATCTAACCATTTTTTGAGTAAATGGTTTTTGCTGTTACTTAATACTAATTTATTCATTCTTTTTTATTACAATTTTATATTCATATTATAAATAGCCGACGTTTATTGAGGTACGCGTTGCTTAACTTATTTTGTGACGTACTGCATTTTAATTTTTTACTCTCTACGTTCCACAAAGTTTGACATTTATGGTTAACGTTCACAATTTACGCAAAACTGACCAAAAATAGTTGAAAAAATTCTAATGTATTATTAAGATATTGCAATCGCACTAAGAATCAGTTTCTTTACATTGAGGTACGTGTTGCAGAAATGTTTTTCGAGACGTATATATAAGAGTTTTAAATTTTAACATTTTTGTTTAACATCCCACAATAACTCTTTGTTAACATTTCACAGTTTTATTCAATTTGACAAACAACTATGATGACAGTCTCATATCGTTCGAATAATCACATTATTTTGATTTGCGTTGCGTTTAACAATATCAAGCGACTAAAAACGACGATGGTAGAATGATAAAATCGAAATAAAAAGGAACGCATAGATTAGCTTTACGAAACAGCAAGAACTATTTGCGCAATAAAATTGTTATTAAACACGGATATTAATTGATCATGAATTATTACCGTCTAAGCCTTCACAAAAGGCATTATCCAATCACAACAAATAATTATCTCGCTTTAGAATTGGTTGTTCCAACTATTTAGACTTTACCTCTTTCGGTTACCTAAAATAAATATCAGTAATCCTTACTCAGTAGTTGGAATGCCGAGTAAAATGAACAATTTCGGATTTGAAACGAGTTCGACATACGATTGAAGGTCATGGCTCACATATACGATTGAAAAGTATCCGTGAAAATTTCACCAGTTAAAAAATCAATAGCGTGCCAACAATCGTGAAACAAATTTATTGTTTTGCAATAAAAAAAAATGACTAATATAATCGAATTTTTAGTTTTTGAGCGAGACAATGGTTGTTTTTCTCGAGAAAAGTCACATTTTGAAACTGTTTCTTAATTTATACAATTGCAATTATTTGGAAAAATCAAATTTTGCGATACATATCATACAAAATACTTCAAGATTAAATCTATATATATATCAATATCTTTTTTATTGTTATTTCTGCAGTTATAATATAAAAACAGATAGTGCTACAGTATATTTATTGTTGATAATATTGCAAAAAATTAGACAAAAGGAAAATCCAAAGTTAACGCAGGATTTTGATTGTCTATTTATTATCTTTTTTATTCTGCATTCATCATAAACGTTTTGACCGACCTTTCGACTATCTGCAATGCATATAAATTAATCTTATAAGATGTCGGAATAAAACATTACAACGCCGATAACAAAGCTCAATCGTAGTCCAAAGTTCATTAAAAATTCAATTAGAAGTTTAAATGGTTGCCAGAAACCAATATGCCATTGTGATGTTATCCCTCAGAACTATTGCAGTCAACCCTAGTTGTTCTGAGAGATAACATCACAAAACAGTGAATGTTTACTGGTTATTTACTGGTTTCTAGCAACCTTTTAAGCTTCTAATTAAATTTTTAATAAATCCTACAATTGAA